AAAATAAAAAAGTATAAATAGTAAAAATTAAAGATGTGGTTTTAGTTACAAATATATATTTTTTTAGTGTTAACTCTAAATACCTATTTCTTTATTTATAATATTTAAACTTAAGATTTTATTTTAAAAAAATTATACCATCTCCATACGAACCATTAAACTGTTGGTTTTAGTTACACACAATAGATGTTATGGTCACACCGTTATAATTATAAAATAATAAATTTATTTAATTTAATTATTAAAAATAATTAATAAAGTAACTAATAAAATAATTAATAATATTTATTCTTTAACATATTTAAATTAATTTATAAATTAATATTTTTTCACATTTAACTAATTATTTTTAAAAACTTATAAATTAATAAATATCAATTACAAATAAATTAAATAAAATCTGGATGGCTAGCGATAACCATACCCAAAAAATTGGCTTAAAAAGGGGGTTTGTAATAGCACTTAGGCAGGAAAGAAGCCCAAATATCAGTCATGCAATAACGACGAAGACCCGCAAAAGAGAGAAGGAGAACCAAACAAGAACAAGAAAGGACAGAGGAACAATGTCAGGCTCTGTAATTTAATTCTGTTTTCAATTTCCCCATCCTGGATCTCGCCTGCATCAAACTCAAGATCCTCTGCCGGGAAACTCCAAACCCTTTCCTTATCCATTGTTTCTCTTGATCTCTCTGATCTCAGACAAATCTCTGCCTCCATCCAATGTGGTTGTTCTTTTCCAGCTAAGGCTGTTCCTGAGATGGCATACAGTGAAGAAGGACCCAACATATTCAACCCAGATTCAAGGTACACGGCACCAGCACACATCCCTATTCTCTGAACTTGTATACAAACTGTTTATTTCTTGTCCCAAGAGACATTTTTGAGTTGATTTAGCCCATACCCATTTGGAATTTATTTGAGAATTTGTACATATTAATGGTTTCTGGGTTATTGAGATGTGGTTGTTATATAGCGGGAAGGATTGGGGTTGTGGGGGATTGGAGCATAAACACAATCTGAAGCTGAGATTGGGTCTTGTTGTTGATCTGGATTTTATGAATATATTATTTGCAGGTTCATTTGGATAATACATGTGAAATTTTGTGTCCTTGTATTGTTGTGTCTAGTGGTCTTTTAAAAATGGTAATTAAATCCTGTTGGAGATCATCTGTTGAAGATGAAGCCGCAGGGCGTGTTGAAGGTTTGTTGTGGTATAAAGATTTGGGAAACCATGCCTATGGGGAATTCTCAATGGCAGTGATTCAAGCCAATGGTTTGCTGGAGGATCAGAGCCAACTGGAATCAGGGCATTTGAGTTGCAGCAGGTCTGGTCCTCAAGGGACTTTTGTGGGGATATATGATGGACATGCTGGACCTGAGGCATCTTCATTCATCAATGACAATCTTTTTTGCAACCTTAAGGGTACTTTTCCCTCTTGAATTTCTTGCTATTTCTTCAATTTGATTGAAATGATTTAGACTTTGTGTTTTATGGGTAAATGCTTAATTCTCTTGCAGCATCTGTGTCTGAGCATGGAGAAATGTCCCTTGATGTAATCAAGAAGGCGTTCTTGACAACAGAAGAGGATTTTCTAGCCCTGGTGAAGAAACAGTGGCTTGTGAAACCAAAGATGGCTTCAGTAGGGTCATGCTGTCTGGTGGGCGTGCTGTGCAATGGCCTACTGTACATTGCAAACGCAGGTGATTCCAGGGTGGTTTTGGGGACAGCAGAAAGGGGAAAAACTGAATTTACGGCAATACAATTATCGACGGAACACAATGCAAGTTTAGAATCTGTAAGAAAAGAACTAAAGGAACTGCATCCTTATGATCCCCAGATCGTTGTGATGAAACACTCAGTGTGGCGTGTGAAGGGCCTAATTCAGGTTCTGTTCCTTTCTTTTCTATTAGGAAGTAATGGAAAATGCATCAATGGACCTGCTGATTGAGCTTTTTGCTTTCCAATTGATATGTGCAGATTTCAAAATCCATTGGTGATGCATACCTGAAGAATGCAGAGTTCAACAAAGAACCGCTGCTGCCCAAATTCAGGTTGCCTGAACCCTTCCAGAAGCCTATCCTTAGTGCAGAGCCAGATATTTTAGTGCACCAACTCCAACCAGAAGACCAGTTCCTCATATTTGCTTCTGATGGCTTGTGGGAGCACCTCAGCAATGAGGAGGCTGTTAACATCATTCGGAGTAGTCCACACAATGTAAGTTTCTCAGATTCCTGCAGCAGCAGAATGACCATTAATGCAGCAAAGAAAAGAGAAATGTGATACTCAGACCTGTTCTTGGGATGATTTTCTTACTCTTTATGTGCAGGGAATTGCAAGGAGACTTGTGCAAGCTGCACTTCAGGAAGCAGCAAAGAAAAGAGAAATGCGATACTCAGACCTGCAAAAGGTGGAGCGAGGGGTGAGGAGACATTTTCACGATGATATAACTGTTATAGTTCTGTTTCTGGATCACAAATTGATCAAGAGTAGCTCTCTCAGAATTTATCCAATTTCGATTAAAGGTGGAAAAGGAATCCCTCCCCCAGCCGCTGTCTCATAGCCTACTAGATTTCTGTGTCTGTTTGCTGATAAATGCTAGAAGACTAACTTTGTTTCTTCCTCTCTTAGGCATTTGCAAGCTTTCTCATCAATACTATTACATTGAAATGAATATCTTTTTTTGCTCCTAGTTGAAATGTATGATGAGGAAGATGTTTTTATAAGAATATATTTTCCTGCTCATCTATTTGGCAGCCTATGAAATCTCAGTTAGGCCTAGGCTAGCAAAACAATCGGCTTAATAGTTATCTGAATTGCTTGTTAGTGGGTGCTGAATTCCCTAGAAATTTGGAGACTGCTTGTGTTAAGATAATCCAGATGAAGGTATACTACTTATAGTTGATTGAATTCCTCATTCCGTTTTATGGTTAATTGCTAGTTTTGCTATTGCGCTCCTTCAAAAGTAAGCCCTTTTTTTCTTTTCTCAATTTCCCTAAATTGCATCTTCTGGTGGTGACATAACATTGTGAAATCTTTGGTTGGTTACTTATGTTTCTACTTTCTATGGGAAGATGGTGAGGTTTGGACTTCTGCGTAACAGATTCTTAATGGTTTGCAAAAATCTCAAGTTATGAAAATCGGTTAGGGTCTGAACTCTGAAGTACCTGTTGAGTCTTGCCTTCTCGGTGAAACTAATGGGTTGCTGTCGAATGGTCAGAGCACAAACCAGAACACGTTCTAACAGAGAAAATTAAAAATACAGATTATTATTATTATTATTATTATTATTATTATTATTATTATTATTATTATTTTGGTAATACAGTGTCATTAGTTGATTATGATTTTTGGCATTTCTGTCTCTCTCAAGCGTTGCCTTCTCTTCTTTTTAAAAGTTTTGTTTCACTGGCTTTCATTATCATTGGGAGCCCTGTTGTATTTTTCATTTACTGATAGATTGACTGTAACATGGTTTCAAGTTCATGATCTCACGGAAACAGATTGTCTTTGTCCTTTCTTGGGGCAAGCCGTTTTCCCAGAGGTTTCGTGTGACATATTAGAAACTGATATTTTTAATAAGGGGAAGGAGAAAAAGATGCCGATGATGCGAAACATTGGACCAACGAAAATGAATATGCCTTTGCGCAAAACATTGGCAGGAAAAGAGGTGGAGAACAGGAGAAAGAATATGGTTTGTGCTTTGCACAAGTCTAAAGGGTAAAGTAAAGAGTTGGGTGAGTTGGTTGCTTGTGGCTACTCAATTCCCCTGAAATCTTGAGATTGCTTGTGTCCAAAACCATCCAGATGAAACGAAACAATTAGTGGTTGAAGAGTTAATTATATTACTGCAAAATAAGAACCATTAAATAAGAGCCACTGTCCAAAATCAAAAATATGATATAATCTGCACAGCAAACACTTTTGTTGATTGAATTTCTCGTTCCCTCGAGTCAATTAATCCGTCCTATTTTATGAATACCATATCAAGGATAATAATGGAAGACCGAGTTTGACCCTCCAAAATTTCTCCTCCTATGCAGCAAAAAAGCTTCCGCAAAAGGATAACATAAAAGAATATTTCACAAACCAGGTTTCTCTGATTCCCTCAGTCAAAATAAAAAATCTTCATTCCAATAAAATCCAGCCAAAATAACAAAATTTCCACAGATGCTGGAAATCTTACATGCCATTCGGTATGAACATTAGAGTCTTTTTTTAAAGGAAAATACAAAGCTGAACAACAAACACACCAAAGTAACAGCCTTCATTGCCAAAATCCTCATTTCTCTGCTGCACAATTCACCAGGTGAGACCCAGGTAGACTAACAACCACCTATCAAGTGTTAACCTATCCCAATATACAGACCAAGAAAATCAAAGAAATTCTGAAGTAACAATCTTGCAATCATGTTAAATGTCAGATAACACAACTCATTAATTATTCTAATTGTTGGCCCCTATTGTAAATTCTCTTATGTAGTGTACCTGCCTACCTGGCAGACCCTTTTTTTTTTTATGTGCCTCTCAAGACCAAACATTTAACAGCAGTAGTCACATATAGCTAAAACCTTTCTAGATCTAAAATAACAGCACTGCACCAATGACTTGACATAAAAAGAGCAGGAAGATACATGAACTAAAATGATTTTTTCATTAGTAGTATCATGATGTGGAATAAGCATGTGTGCAGGCATTGAATGCTGTCCACCAAAAACAATGCATAAGCTTGTGCACGTGAAGTCCACCCATTTACCATACCGAAAACACACATACAAACACATAGAAGAGGAAAAGGGTTGGTGACTGAAATTATGAAAGACAAATACAATCTTTTCATGCAGGCTCACAAACTTCTGGATTAGAGCCATTCTTAACAGTTAATTTAATAAAGGAGAAATGATGGAATCAAAGTCCAGCACTGACCCTAGAATTGAAAGACTAACAGCTACAGGCCTAAAAATTCAACCCACAAGTCTTAAAAATGGAAGTTTTAAGTCAATGACAATAAGAAATCCATTCTTGCCTGCTATTCATGAATTTTGTTCAAACCAACATCCTATGAAGTGTAATCAACACATTCAGTGATTTTAAATTCATATAAAGAAAATTTAGCACTTGAAAAGGACTTCTGCTCTTTCAATGGACCATGAATATGCATCTTTGACAGGATATTAACTGTTAGAGAGACCTAATCTAACGGATGTCAAAATGTTAGCAGGACACTACTGACCAGAGAAAAGCCAGGTTAGGGGGGGGGGTGATTTTGCTATTACTTCAGAATCTTTGATGCTCTTGTAGGCTTTGAGATAGGTTATCACAAGCAGGTAATTGTTGATACACTAGGCCTCACCAGTAAAATTGACCCAAAAGCTGTCTGACGTGAAAAGAATCTTCCAAACTACTAAATACCTGTTTCGTGCTGCATGAGGATGAAGTAGTACTGCATCTAAGAATTTTAGATTGGAAAGAAGACATTTAAGAAGCTGCTGAGGGAATCAAAGACTACTTCTAACCTGCAAAGAGTTAAAAAAACATATGATAAATAATTAACCAGGTCAAAGCACACATACAAACATACAAGATCAATGGCCAGCACATCTCAAATATACCTAACTACAAAGACAATAAACTTTGAGTTCAGGACCCTCCACCAGCATTGCCTGCAATAGTAGCTGCATTCTGATATGACAGGCAAAGATATTAGCAGAATGTTAAACGCTTAGATTTTCTTCTAGTCAGGAACTAGCTATAGTAAAATTAGTTAACAATGCCTTACCAGCTCAATGTTTCCCTTGCCATTGACTTGAGATAAAGAATTTGCAGGAGGATTTGAAAATCTGCAAATATGACATTAAACAAAACATTTTTTTAGTGCAACATAAGCTTTTGAAAGCATCCATACATAATATAATAGTGCAGGAGACAGTTCATTAGTCCTTATGCATACCTGATTGCCCTTGCTTTTCTCTTGTCTTCTTCTTGTGAATCTGTCTTGGTATATGGTGCAAATCTGGCAAGCCGAGATTTCCTCTTTGCTTCCTCATCAGCAGCAGTGGATGGTACAGAAAGCCCAAATCTAAGAAAACAAACCGAGTGGATTATTAGCAATGGAACAAATTCAACTCAAGCTATGCAAACCCTAGACAAAGGTGCCAGGATATAAAACCTCTCAGCTCTAGCTTTCCTCTTCTGCTCCTCTGATTTTTTCAATCCTTCTGTTCCATTTGAGGTGATCCCAGTGCCAAACCTGAAGAGAATTAACCCATAATGCACAAGTCAGGGACACAAGTCGAAAATTCTACAAATAAATTTGCATTTATGTTCAAGAACAATGCTTCCAGCATAATAACTTCAGAAACAACAAATAAATTCTAATTCCTCTGTTAGATATAAGTATGATTGACTTCATCCTGTCTCATGTCCAACAAGGCCACAGCTCAACAAATTAAATGAACAAGTATGTAAAGACACATTCACAGTCAAGCTCAACACTCGCCATAAAAGGCTATACAAAAAGTTCAACTGCATAAATTTCATCATTGTCACTATGCTATGAAGCAAGAATTGCCAAGCTGGCTACTATCTCCTCAAAATCACACTCACACAAAGCTATCACAACCATCAAGCACATGTCAGTCTGAATTTTCCACGGAACAAGGTCCCAAACAATGCAATAATTTTCTTCCTTCTAGGGTCTTGAGCTAATACTAAGTCCTAACCCTAACATTACCAATAAGCTTAAAATCACAAAATACCACATACAGACTAGCATAAACAGTACCTTTCAGCCCGAGAATTACGCTTCTCTTCCTCCGAAAGCTGAACTGGCATCCCAAACCTCTCAGCTCTGCGAACCTTCTTCTGGATGTTGGAGACCAGAGTGCTGTCATTTTCTGCAACCGAACCAACAGTAGATACGGTTCTCTTCAGGCCCTCACCGTCCTTCTGAGGGGCTTCCGCAACGGCCGATGGTATGGTGACGCTGTTAGGAGGATCTGGCTTCGCAGATGGCGGCGGTGCGGGGTCAACAGCGTCCTTCGGGTTTTGGTCTGCTGAAGAGACGGCGGCGGGGGCGGCAGTAGTAGCCATTGCGGTGGTACGGTTGAATTGGAAGCGCGGCCGAGAAAGGCAAAAGGCGTAGATCGTTTTCGATTCTCGCTGTGGCTCAGGCGACGTGCTCGGAACTCGGGACTCGGGAGGTAGGAGTATGAAAAGGGTATATGATTAAAGGCCAAAACCTACTTTTGACATTGTTTTAGATTTGTAGGATTTAGTTCTCATCTTGTACTATAAATTATTAACCTTTTACCACCAACAAGGGTTGGATCAAGTGGTAAACGGTTTATTCCAGTTTAAACAAGGTCTCGAGTTCGAGAACTTGTGAATGCAGCAGCCTCCGTTGAGAGACTCACCCACTATTTTCAGGTACGCGACGCGGGTCGATCCGGATTAGTCGAGACGAAGCTCGAATACCGAACGGGAAACCAAAAATAAAAAAATTATTAACCTTTTACCAATTAGAATAAAAAGAAAGTAATCTTTATTTTATAATATTTTTTAAGTTTTTTAATTAAATATTAATTATATTAGTTAAAAATAAATTTTTATTAATTAATAA